TGGAGCTTGCGCTCCCTCTTCTTTTCCCGTTTGAGGACCTTCCTATTCAGAGGATTGCTCTTTCCCATCCTCTGCAACACATGCTCATCCGGGGGAGCGTCATACGATGGTACCAACTTGGACTTGCGCTGCCGTTTCGGCTGGCGTACGTTCTTATCACGCTCCGAGTCCGTAAGCATGGCGTTAGGCGTTGGGGGTTGAGAGGGAGAGCGCGGTCGCTTGAGTGACTCTCTCCTACTTCCTGGTGTCTCGTCTGTCTGCATATCGAATGACTCATTGGCGTCCCAGAACATCTCATCCGCGTCATCCTCCTGGTCCATATTCACATCATCCCCGAAAGCGCCAGCGTCGGCCGCCCCGAAGAGGCCCTCGAGTTCAAAGGGCTGGGAAAATGTGCTGACAATCTGGGCCTGACCAACGTTTTCGGCGCCGGGTGCGATAGTTGTTGCATTGACTAGATGAGTATGAATACTAACATTAGGCAGAAAGGAGTGTGAACTTACTCGTGGATGGGATCGAAGAAGGATGGATTGTGGGAGGAACGCTGAAGTACGGGATCTTTTGGTGGTTCCAGTCGGTTAAAACTTGACGCGCTGCGGCGAGAAGATCTGGTGTGCCGCCCTGGAAGACACGGTCATAAACATAGATAAGCCATAAACCCCAAGCAGACACGAACCTTGAATAGGCGTCCGCTCTTGAGAGCTAGCATGGTCAGGAACTCCAGAGTTTCAGAAAAGTCCGGTAGATCGTATATCTTCTGTATCGCTTCCTTTTCAGTTCTTGAAAGAATCTGCTCCACTGTAATTAGATGGTTAATGGCTGCGATAGGGTTATCCAAGATGGGACGCACCGACAGCGATAGGATCATCGACGTCCTCCACCTTGACCACATTCCTTAGGAGTACGCTTCCCTTCTTCTGACCCTTATCTATCAGGTCATCCTCGTCAAACACAACACCGGGAGAGTCAACAATGCGCATGCCACGCTCTAGTTGCACTGATTGTAGTTCCTTTGTGTGGCCTGGTTGAGCGGCTACGGCGCATGCCTACGAATACATTCGGCGAATGGAAGAAGGATGACAGGAAGTATGTTACCTTGCTTCGTTTTAAGCTGTTGATCAGGCTACTCTTCCCGACATTAGGGTATCCCACAACCCCGATAGTAACACTGCTCGCTTTGGGCTTGTAAGCCTTGAGGAGTCTTATCAGAGCCGGCGCAGTTCCGGAAGATATATTTGTTCGTTGATGCTGAGCTGAGCTGGGAGACAAAAAAGGGAGCGTGGGTGTAGAATGCCGTAGATGTTTGAGCCAAAGTTGAGCATTATCTTTTGGAATAAGATCTGTACATGACATTCCAGTCAAGAACCAGGAAGTGATTGTATACGGCACATACCCACTTTGTTGAGAACAAAGACCAGCTTCTTGCCCTCGCTCTCGCGCCTTCGAACTTCTTCCTCCACCAATCGACTCCTGCAACCCTCCGGGTCGCGCGCATCCAATACGAGAATGACAATATCGCTCTCGTCGATGACTTTGTGTAATGTACGCACGTAATGCTTGCGCATTTGTTCTTTGGTCTTGCCGCCACTTGTTGAAGACGACGGATCTTGAGCAATATCAGCCATTTCCGAGGCAAGACGCGCTAGTGATGACAGCGTTGGTTCCGAGGCCATTATCGAGTCATCGTCTGGTCGCTGTGGCGGTGGCTTTGGCTTGAAGATGATTCTCAGTACTGGCTTTTCCAAGAATCTTGCAACCTACACCGTTGAGACGCTGCTTGGCTGCATTTTTGGCTTTGAGGTCGGGTAGGCGAGGCACTCCCGGGTCTTTCTTCAGTTCTGAGGTATTGTTAGCAACGTCGAACATTGGTAATTTAAGACTCACTCGATTTCAACGGGACAACCGGTTTCTTGGATCCTATACAATTCCCATTGCAATAGTGAGGTATCAAGAAATAGATACAACGTACTGGTTCGTCCCATGGCGTTCGTCATGGTAATAAAACAAGAAAAAAAGAAAATTTTGATGTATTCGTGACACGTCACATGTGTCACACGCGTGTTCGCTCCGGTCCGAGCTCCGGGGTTTTTCAAGTTGACTTCAATTTGGCAACCTCCCCGTCAAGTATTTTATTGTTGAGTTCTACTGATCACCGTCTGTCGTCCATATATGCCTTGGTCTGCCAGCATCGAATTGTCGCTCTCTGGCCGCCGCCACCTCAGACCCGTAAGCTGTCCTTCCTCGTGCCAGTCATCTAAGTCGTTCTAACTTAGTCAGTAACTTCCATTAGCCTTAGGTGTGCACAACTTTAATTCACAAGCACGAAAGATAGACCTTATGGTATGAAAAATTGCCATACAAATTTCTTTTGCTTCAATACCCGGCCTCGAGTTGCAAGATGTCAGCTTGTCGACGCGCTAACGAAGTATGTAGCAAATAGATGTTGATCGAAAACTAACGTTTGACTCGACATCGCCTAGTGTGAAAGAATCGACACTGCCGCTACGTGAAGTGTTAATGCACTCTTGAATTTTCGCTAGGCGAACAATATGATCTGTCCTTCGCCGCCTACGAGTCGGGACCTCCCATACCAGGTGTCCAAGAAGGTTCCACTTCGTTTCATGATGAAAGGCGCTTTCATTTTAACCCCGAACCATACAGTTGGTCCATGGGTGACGGCGTTGAACAAAATCGCCTTCATTTAGCGATGATGCCGCGAAGGTTCAACCGCTATTAACATTGGAGCTCGATCCAGAACCACCCAAAGAGCAGACGGTTTCATCAATCCAGATGATACGAAGAGTTCAGAGGCGAGAAAGAGGAGCGTCATCTCGCATGCTAGTCAAGGCCATTTCGTGACTTCCAGGGCTTTCACGACGACGACACCTACTTACTAACCACAGCTGAAGCTCAGCGAAGATTTCGACACCCCATGGCTCATTCCTCGGGTCCAAGTGTACGAGTTGTTTTTCTATCTATTCATGACTCTGTCGATTTCCCCCTTCTGTCTCGGTGGCTAGGCCCGTTGCAAGGTCGTCCTGATGAGCTCAGGTAAACCAGTCTTGATCTTCGGAGGTGCTGTAAACCGATCAGCCCAAAGGATTTGAAAGATTTATTGCATGTTGAGAATTCGGGGCGATTCATGCGGCCATCACCGCAGTCAAAGGAGGGAGAAGGAGGGAGACAATCATAGGGACCCCCAGACCTCTGGGCGGCATGGGCAAGGCTGATGGCATGTAATTGTCGTTGTCGAAACCCCAACTCAGTTCTTTTTCGGGTCATTAGATTTGAAGTGACATTGGGCCTCGTTAATCGACACAAGCGGTCAAGGAGTAGCGGAGGGAGGGCTATTCCGAGCATTCGGGACGTCTTCAAGTCCCGCAGACAGTAGTGAAGTTAGTGAGTCCTCAGCAACTGAAGGTTTTTGGTGTCAAAATCAACAATATCGTCGCCGTCATCTTCCTTGTACGCGATGCCTGCGTCGCGACCGTGTCTGGACAGCAGAAGCCGCAGGAGACACTAAAGCATGCCTTGACTAACGAATGACGGTGCCATGAAATCGTCACAATGCTGATGGATTGCCTCAGTGATGAGTCAATCATGTGTCGCAATCCTCTCGTTTAAGATCCTCATGCATATGAGCCTTTCCGTCTGAATCCTGGACGGTGAATTTAGCAAGCCGTAATGTAGTTTCGTGCGACTCGTGGATCATGGCCTATGTAAAGAACGAGCATCATATTTGAGGATAAGAAGGCACTTCAACTCACCATAGGAAAGAGACTCTGAATGAATGTTCCAATGAGCGTAATTCAAACTTCATACCATACAGGTAGTGAATGATATGCAGTTTAGGTTGGAATTCGAAAGCGGCGAGTAGCGAGGAAACACCTGCCAGATACCAGTACGTTTTATCAAAATAGACTTTCATACTCCCCAGTTACATGTTTGTGGCCGGGTTAAGCACTAGTTGTAAGTCACCGTCCGATGAAATGATATGAGAAATGTTCTCGGATAAGGTAGTACCCACTCTTACTCAAGTTCATCGTGACAATATGCACTAGCTCGAAATATGCATGTGCCTTCACCAAACGGAGATTCCGGCTGGTCTTATATGGAGATTCGTTAGCCCAAGTTCGTGTCAAAGGATGCCAACGCACTCTCTTGACTTCGAAATGCAAAATGAGCCGAAGCCAAGGAGTTAGCGTCGAATATAGAAGCGTTTCTCCATGCCAAGTACATGAAGAGCCTTCAGAGGTTCCCAACCACTCCTGTCATGCCTGAGTTTCTGTCTAAAGGAAATGCAAAGTGACACTGAAAAAATTTCCTTATACAGTTTCTATCTAGTCAGAAATGGGATTTTCCCCACCAAAACCTGATTTTTGACAGATGGAAATGTGTCTAAGGAAACTTTTTCAGCTCCACCTTACATTTCCATCAAATTTCCTTTGCACCAAAATTGTTGGGGGCCAGGAGTGAACCAAAGGAGCCATCGTTGAACAGACAAAAGTTCCCCGCGCTAAGCGTACAAAGAGTCTTTGGAGGTTACGGAGGAGCTGCAGTACCAATGAAAAAGTTCCAGTGGCACACTCTTCAGGACACGAAAGGAAATCTAAGATGAAAGAGCGAATAGATGTCGTCATACATCCGAAGGGTGTTTCGGAGCTTGAGATATGAGAATCCTGGACTCATACTTTCGCCTGTGGTTTGGAAGCAGGAAGGAGGATGGATCAGTGAGCGGGCCATGAGCGGGGAGAAACAGAGGCAGAGATGATGTAGTATTTCATCTAGTATATCTTGATGTAGGCCCACGATTCAACATAGTATAAACGTGTCAATCGGATGAGCGATGGCACGGTCTGGCTACTAATTGACGCCTTGGCAATAACGCTTGACAGCTCACAGGTCGTCCCCAAGTATGGTAGGCGGCGGGCGCCAGGTTGCGGACTCGTATCTTGGGAGTATCGTCCTAGGGAAAAAAAAGATAATGACATTAATAAAATAGACCCCAGCGTGACTCGAACACGCGACCCCGAGATTAAGTGATCACCTGATCATTTGCTGCAATCTCATGCTATAACCACTTAGCTATGGAGTCTAGTGATATAAGGCGAATGAGCAGATTAAAACGGCTGAGAATGTGTTTTTTCTTTGAGCAACTACGGGGATAAGACTAGGAACACACCACTCACATATAAGTAATAAACTGAGGCACCGAGGCACCGAAGAGGGCATTGCGGCAGTAGCATCCGCGATATTAAGAAAATGACATGGTACATTTGAAAAATTACAACCTTGAGAGTCGAAACAGTTCATTTCTATTTCGTTATGTAGGATTTAGATACAGTAATAAGAAGTATATCTGTTCATACCTTTTGCACCTGACTTGAACATTTGAATACTCAAATATCCAACAGAAAGGCGATGTGAAATAATTAGTTTCGCAAGCACATTAAATTCCGCGCATCGGAAATTCTCATTCTAAAGATTGGAAAGTGTCAGATCAAGGTATTCGGGAGTTGATACCTCTTACAAGTGATTCAACAGTCTCGATCAAACGAGGGATTCAATGAGTCTCCCACGCCATCGAAGTCAAGCTCAAGTTATTTCGCCAGACACAGACTATCTCTGCTTCGAAGAGATTGATCGTCTCACATTTGTTATACCCATCCTCGCCGGCTTGTGAACAATATTTGCTATCAAGCTTCAACGTCATTCTCGTTCCATTCCGCCAGAACCCAACAGAGCATCACCGAAGCCGTTATTGTTATTTTCTTTGCATCTGGTAATAGGAAGATACGATACCGACCAGCCGGTCGCTGAGCAAAAAGGAAAATGTTTAGTTAGACGAAATAAAACAATCTTCCATATGTCCATGGTATTGTGAAAACAGAGGATGGAATAGAATGGACCGAAGCAAGCATAAACTAGTTCAGAGGAACCTCAGTGGTCACGGGACTTCCTAGGGCGAGAGTTTCAGATACAGTAAAACAGTAAAAGTACTCGTAGCAACAAAACTTACCTGTACTCTCCCTCTGCTGCAACACTCAACTCCTCAATTTCACCTTGCACGCTCGACAGTGCCTCGGCTGCGGCTGCGTAGAACATCAGCTGCGACTTGGCAAGTTCATTGAGGTTCTTAAGGGGCTCCGGCTACATAGTCACAATGAGCGAGGTAAAAAGCAAAGCGAGGATAAGACTGACGTTCTCCAATACCGTCTTCATCAGAGTGATAGCCACCTCGGTCTTCTGCACTAAATCATCCTCTGCATTCTCGACTTCCAGTCTGGCATGTTCCTGCCTAGATGGGTTGGCATTCTTCAGCCTGTAGACACCAGTCAAATTCAGCGCCAAAAACGATAAGATGACGACGTACGTTTGCTTAGCAGCATCCAGCTCCAGCCGGCTAACTTTGACCGCCTGCCGCGCCCTCATCGCAACCTGGATTGAGGTGCTCAAGGTCGTTTGCCACGGGTGGAGGAACCCTACACGAATACTCTCGTCCTGCTGTAGTCTCGCCGTCGCAACCTTGTCATATCCTCCAGCATAAAGAGCCAGAGCTCTCCCTAGCCTGTCCTCAGAGCCTAGCCCATGCGCTGCACCCGTCGCCGCTCGTCCCAATGCATGCGGAAGCGTCTTGTGCTGAGCCTGGGGCGCTACAACGGGTGCAGGAGTTGGCAGATTGGTCCCCTTGAGGTTGTTGGCGGCAAAGTTGGTCAGGCCTGCACCGATGGACGTGGACAGCTCAGAAATGGACTCTTGGATCTGGGTGGGGTAGTCATAGCCTTCATGCTCGTAGACTTTCGTTATCCTGCAAGGTAATCAGCATCAAGGTAAGAATGGATGCTGAATGACTACTCGCTTGAACAGGGCAATATGGGCATTCCGCAGGGAGTCGACGCGGTTCTCGAGATCCTTATACTCTGCAGTGCATTGCTCGTTGGCCGTAGTTCCATCATATCACTAACACAGATGCTCACCCTGTGGAAGCTCGGTAATCTCCTCCGGCGCTACCTGACCCAGTCGTTCCTTCGTTGCCTGGACGCTCGAATTGAAGCCCTTGGCCAATTTATTTGCACTCTGTCCGAGATTGAGGCTGCCGATGCTTGATTGAAGCTTGCTCCAGCCTTCCATGATGGTGGTTGAGGTACAAGAGGTGTTCGCAGCTGCGTTGCACCGCCACGAAGCGCAAGCGTGTGAATTTGCCTTGCTCCATTTTTCTATTCTTAGTCCACACCCAGTGACTCGGGACCCCGTATAGACCAGGATCCAGGTCGCGATTCGGATAGGATTTGAGCAAATTGACCCTCGAACCCAAGTCAAAAATTCAGACATTGGGGGCCAACTGTCACTGAATCCAATCAGATATTCAGACAAATATTGAACTTTTGGAGCAAATTTGCCAATCAGCATGATGGATCGCGCCGGGAGGAATTCGGATAAAATCAGACATTTTCCGTTCGGACAAAATGCCCAAATTTCAGAAATCGGAATGGGTAGTCCGGGTAATAACTTCGCAAACTGGTGAAAAGAAATTGGCATTTTTTAAAACGACATCACCGCTCACGGTTAATAAAATGACACCTCCACTGAACCTTCGTCGCATGACTGCTCGTTGTCCCGCCACCGGAATACCATTGCTCAGCTCTCATAGTACAGGTCAGAAATAGGCTCGTGTATTGGGGATATATACATGGAGGCATAATTGTTAAGAATATGCCAAAAATCCAGATATGCGAGCACAAGGCGAGGAGTGAAGATTGAAGCGAGGTAAGATTGATAACAAGTGATGTACTATGTCGTTAGGGAATAGAATGGATTTCGGCAAGAGTTCGTGAGGAGAGCTGAGTGGCCGGTTTGCAGGATAAATGAGGATAGCAAGCGCGAAACAATTACCGATATAGAAACCCTGTAAGCGCGAAGCTATTACAAGGCAGAAGCGAAGACAAGCGCTAAGCGTAGTCTTCGGGTTGGTGTCAGAAAGTGCTAAGCGTATCCGACGAGTTGTTCAACAAGTGCTAAGCGTAGCTGAGGGTTCACGCAGTGAAGGTGTCCTAAAAGTGGTAGATTGGTCAAAGATTATTTAATACAATGGTATGTACGAGTTTATATACCCAAGAGTTCAAGGAATCATTGTTCTACTAAGTTCTATTATATTATAGTACCTGTAAGAAAAGTAGAGAAAGTAAGGGAAGATACAAGAAAGTACGAGGAGTCAGTATGAAGACCGAGAAGGCCGAGTAAGGCCATGCGTTGACTCATGTTCCGAAGTAACGGATACCCAATATCCATAACAATAATACAAAAGGACTTATCGAAGAGTCGGAAAGCAAGCCTCAGCACGGATAGTACCTAATGGCACCTGCAAATAAAAAGTCAATATAACCTTAACGTTCGCAGCGAAAGGAAGCACCGAACGTTCCTTTCCGTTCGAACTTCAAAGTCATATCTAGGGGAGAGAAACAGTAGTCGGGCCCACGAAGTAGAAACTAATATACGTGAAGAGCAGCGAAGCTTCAGGGAAAGATTCGGCTCTAGTACACAAGAGAAGAAAGTCCGAGAGAGCTATACCACTATTTCGGGGCTTTGAGCCTATGAAATTGTCCACAATAATGCTGGAAGTGCACTCACAGAGAATTTTAACAATATTTAGGTCAGTAAGCGCTCTTTGTTTAATGCCCCACCCGTGTAAAGTTCTGGGTGTGGCCGCGTACATATAGAGTTCGGACATGGGAAAAGGGAAAATCACATATACAAAAAGCTGGGACATCTATAGCACAGTGAACGTACGTGGAGGTCAACGACTATGTTTACTCTCCTCAGGCCCATCCTCGCTCACTTTCACTGGGTCGTCGTCAATGTCGGCTCTATGTGCTGAGCTCGAAGCCTGGCCGGCCTCAATAGTCTGTTCTAGTTGTCCGTTCTTCTTTCTCTCGTCTCTTCGAAGAAGGAATTGTATGAAAAGAGTCCAAAGAACTGCGAGATGCATCGTCAGTGATCTGCTCCGGATCGGAACACGGGGAAAGACCTACTCAGAAGAACCTGAAGAACTGTCGAAGGCGATTATAAAACAGGCATAGAGTGATAACCTAAATGCGACATACCGATAGACCAATGGTAACCTTTCGTCGCTCGCGGGAAATCAGTCGTCTTCCAGACAAAATTCGGCGCAACAGCCTGTACGACATATGCAAGATCGTTTCCGAGGGCAACGCAGAGAGCCCGAAGTTCGTTCTGCATCCAATAAATCGTCAAATGATGTACAACGTAATGGAAGAGGAAGTACTGACATCTGCTTGCGTTATTTCGCTGGCCCAGTTTAATATCAACGGCCCGGCTGTGGACTGAATACTTTGGTTAGAGGACAAGTAGAAGATGAAGAAGATCCAGACAAACCCCAGTGGTCATAAGGTAAAAGTAGGCAAAATGGCCTGGTATGTTCTTATACAGAGGCATGGCGAGCCAAGCGATATTAAATATAAGATTGAGCACCGCGCCGAGATATATGAATGGATATCTTTTGCCTTTGGGAAAGTCAGCGCTGACCAGGATGATAGGGACAACCAACCTTTGAACGGTCCGTCGCTTTGCCAAGCTAAGAACCACGCTGTGACGACGAAGACGGCAGTCGCAGGAAGAGGTACTGTGGGAATTTGAGAAAAGGAGAAAACGGAACAAGGGAACGAGTCAACTCACGCAGCTGTATTTGAGATACGGTATATTTCTTCCCCGGAACAGGAGCGGGCGTGGTGTTGAAGCTCTTGAGCCAGTATTGCATAGGAGTTTGGGCACCGCCATTGTTCCACAGAACGTATTCTATAGGCAAGATCCATATGTACCAGGAGGTGAGAATCCGACGAAGCTACGCCATGTCAGAACGGGAGATATGAGAAAGGCTGCTTCCGACCTTTGCCCACGTCCATGGTTCTGATTCCTTCCGTCCTATGGCTTTCATTCGGGCACGGGCTAAGGCGATATCCTGCAGGAGTAGCCCTTGTGAGCGAATCGTATTTGTGAACGGATCAACGATCGAAAAAGCGTACATCTGGACTAAGAAGGAATGACCTCTTAGCATTGAAAGGGAGATCTGGAAGGAAA